CCTTGCCTAGTAGCCCAGAAAATGGCCATTACTTGTTAACATTGACTACCATTGATGTCAGTGGGATTCGGATTTGACACCAGAACTTCAGTAAAGTCAGTTGAACCTGCCTTGAACCCAGGTAAGTTTAGTTCATCCCTACACCTGGTGTAAAACCACTACAGAATCTAAGTCACCAAGATTTATTCAGAATAACTGAAGGCTGAGGTGTTTTTGTGCCTGCACAACCGCCACTGTCTAGTGAAGGGCTCATTCAGAGCCAGAGAACAGACATAAACATAAAGTATAGGCAGTGGCAGTTGTGGTGCAGAATTACCTGGGTATTCAGTCATTCTGAATGAATAATTGTCTACTTAATAAGCATCAGAACTCTATATACAGTACATACACATGGATGTCAATATGTGCTGAGATGCACTATAGATCACTTTATATGCAGAATGTCAGCTTTCTGCCACAAAATTGTCAGTAACTTTCTATGCCTGTGCATGAGCCCTTACACAACCAAATTTTATATACAATTTTACAAAAGTATGAACAGTCACTTTCGACGATCACACTGAAAAGCAGTTAGTTACATTGTCAAGGAATTTGGGGAAAAACTTAATTTGGTGCAATAATATGTCCTTTATACAAGGCAATCTAAACTCCAGTAGTCTATGATTTGTCCAACGTAGAGGGAAATGTTTTGTCCTATACACTGCATACCTGTGTTGGCTTAGTGAAAATTTTGGGAAGGTCAGCTTGTTCTTATGGTTTCATTATTGTGCATTTTGAATGAATCGAGTGGATTCTGCTTCCTATACTCATTGAGTGCAATCAAGCACCTACTGATAAAGAGAAAAACCCTACACCAAAAGAGATACTTTCTCAACTTGATATAAGCCATTTAGCTGACTGCATCTCACCAGTTGACTATAATGCCAAAATTATACTCTTTGCCATGTACCTTGGTTGCAAGCTAAGTTGACGAGAGGGCCTCCCTTGTGGCTCTGGTCTGAGCACTCCTGAATGTGGTGAAAGAGGTACATGGCTCAAAGAAACATGGGTGATAGAAGGTGACTGCCATGGTCATGGATGTAGTCAAGGTGAGCCAGGGTCATACACAGTGAGACAACAGCGTGGTCAGGAGGCAAGCTGGGGTCGGTACCAGGTTAGCATGCAGAGCGAGGTCCAGTAGCAAGCCGAGGTCAGCACCAGGAGATCAGGCAGAGAATAGTCATAGGCAAGCCGAGGTCAGCACCAGGAGATCAGGCAGAGAGTAGTCTAAGGCAAACCAAGGTCAGAATCCAGACTTCACAGAGCAAGGTCAGGAGCAAGCCAGGTTTACAATGGAAGATCAGTCAGTAGAAACAGGAACACAGGAAGATGGGTCACAGGAAGCTGAAGAACATCCAGCAGTTAGTACGCAGCAGAGTCTCCTTCAAATAGGCAGCTTGGCGCCAATGCGGGAAGAAATGTGCCTATGCGTCAGTGCACCCTGAATATTAGCCTGGGCTTGTCTCTGTACTGGTACATGTGCACGAACATTAGCTGCATGGGAATGAGCATTAGCTGAAGAAGAATTCTCATGAGCAGCAAAAGAATTAGCATGAGTTTCTGAAGAGAAAAGGGGAGGAGGGTCTATGGCTAATTCCCCCCTCAAAATCTCTGTTATCATAGTGCTAAACTCTAATCCATTTTCCAATCTCGGGTCATTTTATATGGAAGACAGGAAGAAAGCCAGTCTGTCCTCATTCCCCATATCAGGCTCCTACTGTAAAGAGCAGAGTCCTCCTACCAGTTGCTATCGGGCCCCTGCACCTACTGTCAGGAGTGATGCTGCAGTCACTCATGTTAGTGAGAACAGGAGAAGCAGAGGCACAGTAGAAACTCTCAGCGTGCCTGTCACGTACCTTGGTTGAAGGCCAAGTTGACAAGAGGGCTGCCCTTGCAGCTCTGGTCCAAGCACCCCTGAATGTGGTGACAGAGGTACAAGGCTCCAAGAAGCACAGGTTTGGGAAGATGTGCACGCCGATGCACATAGAAATGCACCTACATGTCAATGCATGCTGGGTATTAGCTTGGGCTTGTGTGTGTACTGGTACATGTGCACAAACATCAGCTGCATTGGAATGAGCATTAGCTGAACGAGAATTTACATTAGCTGCACGAGAATTCACATTAGCTGAAAAAGAATTCTCATGAGCTGCTAAAGAATTAGCATGAGCTGCAGAAGAATAGCATTAGCTGCATTAGTTTCCTGACACTCCTGCTGGGAAGAGACATCCTAAGCATACACAAGGTACATCAACAGCATAATGTCTGAACCAGTGATTCTAAAGCCATAAAGACTTATCTAGGATGCGTAATTATTGCAACCTGCCATCCATAAAAACCCCAAGCCTCAGATAATGTGCACTCCAATAAAATTATCCTACAAAGAAGTCAAACTGTGACTTATTTACAGATTTGTCCATCAAGATCAAAGCTGATACAAACAAGAGCTCACGCATCAAGTCAAAACGCCTGCTAACAGCAAAAGGCCTAAAAAGCTCATCAGACTCATCCCCAACTGTCGTTGTGCAGAAATTTCCCTTTCCTCAGAAACTGGAAACAGAATCTTCCATACTTGTCAGGAAGTCCCTTCAACCAACTAGACAGACTATCCTATAACCACCCATAAGGGATCTTGCAAGCCTTGCTACTGTTGTAGAAGTGACATGATGTCTTCATGGGCTGTTGGACATCCCAGTGTCTTCATGGACTGACACCTCCTGGTGCCCATGTAACTCAGTATACAGTATCTAAGATTCACCTGGAACCTCAACCTTCTCCTATGGATCGGTATATGTTTCCAGTATTTATTCAATTGGACAACTTGGACGTATTTTGTTTATCTTTGAATAATAACTTCAATCAACTGAGGTTTGACATGCTCTGGTCTCTCTGATTAGATGGCTTCTTCAAAAGAATCATCTAAGCCTTCTAAAAACAACCAAATTATGCTAAATTGTTGTAAGCCGTGTACCGGGGTGGGCTCCCCAGGATACAGTGAAGTCACGAACGAGGAAAGCAACCACAACACCAGCTTTTGCCACAACAGAATTTTACTTAGATGTGGCAAATAAACACAACCACAAATGCTGAGAACATACAATAAATTTACATACACCCAGCCCAAAGGCTGAGACCCTTGTGCTGCACAGCACGGCGCCTCCTGATGGATGAAGGTAGAAGTTGTAGTGATTTACCTACTGGTGGGCACAACTAAGCTGCCACATCTTACCCGTTATTACCCTAAAAGAGCAGGAATCAGTGTATGGGTGTACGGCATGGGCTAGTCTGCGGTGCAGCACAACAGCTTACAATCTTACACAAATCTACAGTATTCCCCCTCCCATAACTGGTCCTGTAGTACGTGCCTGAGTATTCCTTCTGAGCAAAACGCCAGTCTGGCTTGAGTTTGTGGGATGTTATCAGCTCTCCAATGTGAAATGTCACTTTAAGTTGTGGAGTCCTTCCAATAATCAGTAACAACACTTGTGGTCTGACACAAACAGAGACCCTAACTAACTAACTATAGGCCTGGACTCAGTCTCAAGGCTCCAACACTGAAATGAGGTGTGTGCACGATCTTACCGACCCGGCTCTGCTTTGCATCCGCTGGTGACTATGAACAGAACAAATGTCTCTCCAACAAGCATGCGGTCTCCCCGTATATGTTGTTAAGTTCCTCTGCTCTCATCAGCATTCCTGGCAGCAATCTCATAAGCATTCCTGGCAGCAATCTCATCAGCTTCCTGGCAGCAATCTCATCAGCTTCACTTAGCTGCAGCTCTGGTTACGGAGAGATGCTCTCACACCTGGATGTCATCAGATTCTCAGCTCACACGGCCCCTGCATTCACCATCCTCTAAACATGGCTGCTCTCTCTCCTCTTCCTGTTCCCTCAACTCTGTGTGAACACTCCACCTCTTCATGAATATAGAAATATCTATGCAGTCTGAGGCTGTGTTAGAAAAACAGTGACATCTTTTTGCTAAACTGCAGCTTGTCAGTGAAAACATTTAATTTACTCCACACAAGCAGTATTCAAACAATGAGAGCTGTTTCCCCATCTCACATTGTTATCATTTGTTTTTGCATCTTTCATGTCCCTAGGACCAGCCAGCTATGTTTATTAACGTATCTCATGTTGAGTTTTTTTGTGTTTACTGCTGTTGTATTAGATTGTACTGCATTGTTATTGAGAATGATGCACTTAGTGACACCTCATGATAGCATGATAGCATGGTGGCACTACAGCTTGGTATTGTGTGCATTTGTTATATTCCTTGCTCCCTTACTTTTATCTGCTAATTGGGTAAATCTTTAGATTGTGTTTTGGCAACCCATCAGTCATGATCTACCAGTCAGTCACAGCCAGATGATTGGTAGATCATGCCCTGTGATTGCTGATCCACAGTTCCCAGAGCAGTGAAGTGGGGGCCTGCACTGCCGGAGTGATACAAACTGCACTCTGCCTCTCTGTATCCAGCCTAGGATAGAGCAGTGCCAGGAGAGGATGGTGCCCTTGAAGTAGAGTTCACATGTGGGGAAGGGGCACATCTGGCTGTACACTGAATGCTGCAGTCTGCTAATTCAGCTTGGTAGCATAACCACATGCCGCCCAGCCACTATAGAAATACGTTGGCAGGGTGGCACGGCTGGGCAAAACCACTGTCCTGCCGATCACGGCCGCAGTTGTCAGTCGCCGGGTCACAGCTGGTCGTTACCGGCTGTGTCCCCCGCCGATTAGCAGCAATCACTGACAGAGAGCAGGGCTGCAGTAGCTCTGCTTTCTGTCAGTTCCCTGTCAGCTCCTGACATGCTGAGCCGGAGAGAAGAGTTTATCTCTCTCGATCAGCCTGTCCCGTGCAGTACACACCCCCTCACACAGTTAACCCTTTCAGTAAATGAAAAAGTTAACCCCTTCCTCCCCAGTGCCATTAGTACAGTGTCAGTGTTTTTTTTTTGCACTGATCACTGTATTGGTGTCACTGGGGATGTCAGTGACCCCAAGTCAGTTCCCCCCCCAGTGTCAGAATGTCTGCCACAGTCCCGCAGTCCTGCCATAAGTCGCTGATCGCCGCCATAAGTCACTGATCGCCGCCATAAGTTGCTGATTGCTGCCATTATTAGTATAAAAAAAATTTAAAATCCCAGTATCTTTCCTGCCAATTGTAAATGCTGTAACTTTCACGTAAACCAATTAATTTACACGTATTGGGTTTTTTTTTTTAGCAAAAACGCATGCATTTTGGCCGAAATTTATGACGAAATTTGATTTTTAATTTTTTTTTACTGGAAGTGTTTTACAGCAAAAAGTCCAAAATATTGTTTTTTTTCTCAAAATTGTCAGCCTTTTTTTTTATAGTGCAAAAAATAAAAACCGCACAGGCAATCAAATACCACCAAAAGAAAGCTCTATTTGTGTGAAAAAAGGAGGTAAATTTCATTTATGTACCATCTTGCATGACCTCGCAATTGTCCGTTAAACTAGCGCAGTGCTGTATAGCAAAAAAATGGCGTAAATTGCAGTATCTATACCATAGTTTGTAGACGCTATAACTTTCACACAAAGCAATCAATATACACTTATTGGGATTTTTTTTACCAAAAACATGTAGCAGAATACATTTTGGCCTAAATTTATAACTAACTTTGAGTTTACTTTATATTTTTTATAGCTGAAAGTAAAAAATATTGTTTTTCTTCAAAATGTTTGGTCTTTTTTTGTTTATAGCGTGATCAAATACCACCGAAAGAAAGCTCTATTTGTGTGAAATAAAGGACATAAATTTCGTTTGGGTGCAGCATTGCATGACCGCGCAATTATCAGTTGAATTAGTGCAGCGCCGAGTAGCAAAAAGAGGCCTGGTCATTAAGGGGGGTAAATCCTCAGGAGGGCAAGTGGATAATGTCTGGAAAGATTAAGATCAATGAAGAGATGTCAGTGCAAAAGGTTATAGTTGAGACAGAACACTTTTGGGTAATGGAGGTTTTTGTGCCTATAGGATCAAGTGATTAAAATCAGTTCCTTTCTTGACATAGGTGAAGCCCTGGAGAGTGTTCTTGTATGAGTGAGGTAATTGTAAGCTCCACTGGTTCAAGATCCCATGTAAACATGTGCAGAATATATGGCCAAAAGTATTGAACACCTTGGGGATGAATCAGAACATTGATTGCAAGACAGGTCTTCTCATACAACGTTAGCATCTGACCTCACAAATACTTTACTTTTTTTTGCTGAATGGGCACAGATTCCCACAGACCCGCTCCAAAATCTTTTGAGTGGAGGTTGTTACAGCTCCGGGGGGGGGGGGGGGGGTTATGAAACTTAATAATTATGGCCGTAGTTTTAATTGGATGGTCAATAAGCTCATATTGGTGTGATGATCAGGTGTTCACAAACTTTGGCAATATAGTGTATGTTAGTGTTGTATATGTCCAAGAAATTGACACAGCATCATCTGTGATATGGTTTATGGTCAACCTCAAAACCTCTTTAATAAATTAAGCTAGGACTCCCCAGGTAAAGTATGCTGTTTACTTTTTGGGTAGGTAAAAAGCTTTGTATGCAGCCGAGGAATGATTTGCAGTTTCTGGTCAAGTGAAATATTGGAAGTGGTGGAAATAGTAATAATAATGGGTGAAGCTGGCAAGACTGCCAGTTTCTGACAGAGAAAATGCTTGCATGCATTTTACACACTGATTTATGTTAGATTCCTGCCCACGGACTTAGGTAGTCATAATATATTAGACTTTAATTTCTCTGTTTTGGCTGGCAGTTCTTTAGCAATCAAAAGAAGCTGAGTACTTTAATATGCAAAGACTGTAAAAAGTGAAAAGAAATAAATAAGGAATATAAGACATTTCAGATATGAAATGTATCTGTCCTTCAAACATGTGACATTTAAATATGCTCTCTCTGGGGCAGAGCTGTGTGTAAGGTTTTTCTTTTCAGTACTGGGTTTCTTGGTTTATTTCCAGAGGCATCTAGACATACAGCCTTCATCTTCTTTCTATATGGCTCCATGCACACGGGGCAGCGTTTTTTTTTTTCAAGAAAAGTCCAAAAATGCTGGTTTGCCGCGTTTTACTGCATTAGAGCGTTTTTACAGCTAAAAACTCCTCTAGAAACCAACTAGTCCTGGGTTTTTTTCCAGCCAAAAAACACCCCTGACAGAAAACGTTGAGTACAGTCTATGTGTGCATGGACGCATAGGATAACATGCTGGGGAGTTTACTGGCTGTAGAAAAAAACACCAAAAGCCAAAAACAGCAGCTGTAAAACAGGGGTGGACTGACAACTCATGAGGCCCCCCGGGCAATAGGGGATCATGGAGCCCCTGTGTCCTTGCCCAAACTCAAAAAAGCCTATGAAAAAGGTACCAGGGGCATCTCATGGGGCCCCCTACTGACCCCAGGCCCCCGAGTTTCCAAATGGTCAGTCCGCCCCTGCTGTAAAAATGTCCAGTGTGCATGAGGACTATTTGTGAATGTTCCTTTTGGTTGTATCTGTCCCATGCCTCAACTCAAATGTAGCAGGTAGGTTAATCACTTGACCTCCAGAGGATTTACCTACCTTCATATTCAGGACATTTTTTGCTTTTTGGCACTGTATTACTTTAAGTTCTCATTCTCACTGGGGGGACGTTTTGATAATGCAGCGTTTTCCTGCGTTTTTTCCACGTTTGCATTATTTAGCATTTTTTTAATCAACAAATTTATTTTTTTGGTCGAAAAAACACCAGAGATGCCGGTTTGGGGCATTTTACCGTGTTTCGCTGCGTTTTTCAGCGTTAGGGCGTTTTTCCAGCTAAAAAACTCCTCTAGAAACTCACTAGTTCTGGGGTTTTTTTCCAGCCAAAAAATGTTGATTATAGTCTATGTGTGCACATAGACACATAGGATAACATGCTGGGGGGTTCAATAGCTGTAGAAAAAAATATCAAGAACCAAAACCAGCAACTGTAAAAACGTCAAGTGTGCATGAGGACTAACTGTCATGTGCAGTCATGCAACACTGTATACAAATTAAATTCATATAATTTTTTTCCACAAATAGAGCTTTTGATTGGTGGTATTTGATCACCTCTGAGTTTTTTAATTTTTGGTGCTATACAAAAAAAGACCGAAAATTTGGAAAAACAAACAATTTTTTACATTCTGCTTTATAAAATAACCAAAAAAACCCCCAACAATTTCTTCATAAATTTAGGCCAATATATATTCTACTTCATATTTTTGGTTTAAAAATCCCCAAATTCCAATAGGCATATATTGATCGGTTTACATGAATGTTATAGTGTCTACAACTATGGTATATATACTGGAATTTTATTTTTTTAATGTTTCTAATATTAGTAATGATGGCAATCAGCGACTTATAGCGGGATTGCAATATTGCGGGATATGAATGCTGCTGTTGACTCATACACCTTACCAACCGATCAGCGACTGCTGCCCCTCTCTGCCAATCCCTCCACTGGCTTCCACTAACCCAATGTATAAAATTCAAAATACTAACCACAGCTTACAAAGCCATCCACAACACTGCCCCTAGCTACCTCACCAACCTCATCCACAGATACCACTCAAATCGCCCACTCCGCTCCTCCCATGATATCCTCCTCTCTAGCTCCCCCATCACCTCCTCCCACGCTCGCCTCCAGGACTTCTCCAGAGCCTCTCCCATCCTCTGGAACTCCCTACCACAGCATGTCCGGTCAGCCCCCACCCTGTCTGCCTTAAGGCGATCTTTGAAAACTCACTTCTTTAGGGAAGCCTACCCCACCTCCACCTAAGAACTGTACTTGAATCACCTCCACCAGATCATCCCGCGCAGCTATCACCTTTTGTATCACCTCCCCCTTTCTTTAGATTGTAAGCTCCACGAGCAGGGCCCTCCTATTCCTTCTGTACTGAAATGTACTGTAATTGTACTGTCTCCCTTATATTGTAAAGCGCTGCGCAAACTGTTGGCGCTATATACATCCTGTATAATAAGAATAATAATAATCTAACACTAACTGACACTAACAATTTGTGGAACCAGTGACACTAATACAGTGATCAGTGCTAAAAATATGCACTGACACTGTACTAATGACACTGGCTGGGAAGGGGTTAAACATCTAGGATGATAAAAGAATTAAATGTGTGTCTAACCAGAGTTTTTGTATGTACTTTTAGGTGCTTCACTAAGGGATGTGCAGGATTTTATTCCCTGCTCTGCAGGGAAACAAAGTCCAGCACATCTGCCTTAACAGGACAGAGCTTTGCCTTGTTTACATAGGCATAGCTCTGTTCTGGCTTTCTCCTCTCTGATCAGCGGGTGCCAGTGGTCATCCATTGGCCAGCATCCGCTGATTGGCTTGTGCTGTGTCTAATCACAGCACAGCTGGGTTGCCTGTGGCGTGTGCACCCCCTAACTGGAAATGCCAGATCACGTAAATGAATATGACCAATATAATGCATTAATGGCACAAATACGGATAAAACTTGCATGAATGAAATGCGCATGCAAAATGCGACTTTAGGTCTATTCTTTAAGGTGTGAAAAAAGTCCTGTGTGCATGAAGCCTAGGGAGAAGAAACATTTAGAACAGTAAGTCCACCCAAAAGTGTTTTTTTCATTTGTAGGTTGAGTCTGGTGGGTTGAGGCGTCCAATGGCTTCTTTAGAGGTTTCTGGCAGTGAAGTCACAAGCTGATATTACTGGCATTGTCACTGTCCACCTTGTAATTGTCATGTTCTCTTCTGCTTTGGGGTATCAGTGACTTTTTCAGTTTCCATATTAAAAATAAATAGAAATTCCAACAAAGAGAGTGGCATTATATTCTAATGGCTGGGGCAAGATTGAAGGCTTGGAAATTCAAGCTGACAGAACTCCCCATTAGTTGTTTTAAACTTTGAGATAATAATTCTGACTGATTCTGTAATTATTCCGAATGTATTGTCCATTTCTGAGCATCAGTATACATCATTGCAAAATATTACAGACCTAGTGAATATTACCATTCATCAAAGCTAGACATAATCATTCATCAAAGTAAATGTGTTTGATCAGTGACATGTCACAATGCATAGAGTGATGCATCAATCCTCACTTGTCAATTTTCACTCATCACTCATGTGTTGTCTTTAATGATTTTCGACAAGTCTTTACTCAGCATTCATCCCTCATGGCCTGTTCCCACTTGCAGTGCTTGAAATAATAAAAAGACCTAAATTAGCATTTTTGCCTTAGCTTTAATGAGCATATTCAAAACATTTTATCACCATTTTGCTATGATTTTTTAATTTATTGTGGTATTTTGCTTGTGAGCGATCATATTAATATAGACCTAAACCCTAAGACTAAGTTTAGATGCACGGATAGAGGGGCCATAAAAACGAGCAGTTGAGTCATAGCTCTCCTTTTTGCTGCAATGGACTGTGGATAGAGGTGTTCAAATTCTGTAGTTGCAATGCTTCGCTTTGTGCCCTAGGCAAAATCTTGCTTACATGCCCATCAAACATTGCACATTCAGGTGAATGGATAAGCTCTGCAAATGCCTCACAGCCATGTTCAATACGTGTAGTTGTAGCGTGTTTGCAAAAATGTGGTTAAAACGGGCATCACACTGCCTGATCACTACCTGTCAATTGCCTCTGATGCACGATCCAAATGTGGACAATGCTTCAGAGGAGGGGTAGATTTAGATGTGCCTCTAAATCTACCGTAAAAGAATGAAATTTGGTTTGCTAAAACACTGTGTTTCATAAACAACTACCAAGTTCTTTTGTCACCTGCAAGGTACCAGCAACAGCATGTACATGAAAAAGGAATTTCATAGTAAAACCACCATTATTATATTAATGAAAGCTGCATCTACAGTATATACAAAGAACTTGAGGAACCACTCAAAGGAATGCAAAGCCTCCTCTTGCAGTCCAAAGCACAAATCGGGTGCCGACGTTCAAACAAGCTCATTCAGGCTAGCAGAAGCCACACACTAGAACCCATCCACTATACAGAAAGGTAAAGATACAGCTTCAGCCTGAACTCCTACTGACTACGTAGTCAAGAGAAGCTTGGGCTGAAGCTGTATCTTTACCTTTCTGTATAGTGGCTGCCTGGGTTCCAGTGCACTTCCACCTTCTGTCTTCCAATGAAAGCTGCATATTAAAAATTTGCTGCTTGAGTATTCCCCCCATTGCAGCTAAAACTAATAGTCATGGTCAACTGAAATGCTAGGTCCTGAGTCTGAAGGTTCATATTTGGGTGTCCACATCGCTAAATACTTCAGTTGCATGATGATTTCACATTAAGTATGGTGCAGACACATAGGGGTTTATTTACTAAAGCTGGAGAGTCCAAAATCAGACTCCCTTCTGCATATAAACCAATCAGCTTCCAGGTTTCATTGCCAAAGCTTCATTGAACAAGCTGAGGTTAGAAGCTGATTGGTTTCTATGCAGAAGGGAGTCTGATTTTGGACTCTCCAGCTTTAGTAAATAAGCCCCATAATGTAGCACTGGTTGACCAGTCTCTGGCTGAGTCGGGTGAGTAAAAAGAAAGCAACCAGGCAACTTTTAATCAAAAACTATATTATTTCACAGAAAAAGGAAATGCACATTGTAGTGAATTCATAAACTGTCTTGAAGCTTTTTGCTAAACTGCATTTTTATTGGAAAGATAACTGCCATATATTTTAGTTTTTCAAAAATCTACAGTAGAGTGTATTTTTTTTTTTTTTTAATTTTTCTTCCTTTATAGTAAAAATAAAAAATACAACATGTAACAGAAGCGTAGGCAGGACAGAGCACACGGAGAAGATGGGGAACACACAAAGCTTTATTGAAGCAACAAAATGACAGACACTCAATGGGGAAATGGCAGGGAGGGTGATGTGTGCGCAAACCAGGAACGATTCCAGGCACGGGGGGTCTTCGGCGACAGGCAGGCAATCTCCCTCCTAGGCTTGGGGCCTCAGCCGAGCTCCCTCCGTGACTGGACAGCGGAATGGAGACTCGGGCAACAGGCGTCAATCTACCCCTGGGCAGGGGCCTCGGGCAACAGGCAGCAATCTACCCCTGGGCAGGGGTCTCGAGCAACAGGAGGCAACCTACCACTGGGCAGGGACCTCGGGCAACAGGCGGCAATCTACCCCCGGGCAGGGGTCTTGGGCAACAGGTGGTAACCTACCACTTGGCAGGGGCCTTGGGCAACAGGCAGCAATCTACCCCTGGGCAGGGGTCTCGGGCAACAGGCGGCAACCTACCACTGGGCAGGGACCTTGGGCAACAGGCGGCAACCTACCCCTGGGCAGGGGTCTCGGGGACTCAACGGGACTCTAGCTGTGGAGTCTGGCCTCAGCACAGCTCCCACCCAGCTTTCTAGGGACATTGGGTTCACGGGGACTCACAGGTAGCTATACTCCGGGCACGCTATGGAGTGGTTCAAGTAAGGGTAGACTAGGCGTGTAGTAGGGCAGTGCATAACCCAGGTGGTCTGTGCGCACAACAGGGACAGTTGAGGACACAGGTGGTCAGTGCACACAGGGGGGCAGTTCAGAACACGAGTGGTCGGTGCACACAGCAGGCACAGTTCAGGACACAGGTGGTCAGTGCACACAACAGGGACAGTTCAGACAATGGGTGGTCGGTGCACACAGCGGGGACAGTTCAGGACACAGGTGGTCAGTGCGCACAACAGGGACAGTTAAGGACACAGGTGGTCAGTGCGCACAACAGGGACAGTTCAGGACACAGGTGGTCAATGCGTACAACAGGGACAGTTCAGGACACTCACGGTAAGCAGCTTGTAGACCCTCAGCGGCAGGTGGCTCCAGACAGGGATGACCAGCGGTCGGCGTTCCAGGGACAACCAGCGATCAGCAGACAGCAGCAGCTCCCTGGGAACTCAGCAGCGGACGGCTTCCAGGGACCCGCGGCCATGGGCAGTGTGCAGGGTCCCTCAGCAGCAGCTCCCAGGGCACTCAGCAGCAGACAGCCTCCAGGGACACGCAGCCATGGACAGTGTGCAGGGTCCCTAAGTAGCAGCTCCCAGGGCACTCGGCAGCAGACAGACTCCAGGGACACGCAGTCACGGATAGTGTGCAGGGTCCCTCAGCAGCAGCTCCCAGGGCACTCAGCAGCAGACAGGGTGCAAGGGTGCTCAGTAGACAGGCTTACAGACTTGCAGGGTCTGAGCTGTGGGGTCTGACCTTTGAGGAGAAGGCTCATGCAGAGCTGTGGAGACTCCCAACCCTGGGGTATTGCAGAGGGCTACAGTCCTGACCTTTTGGGGGTCTGCAGAGTGCACAGGGGGGATGGCTGGGGAGGCGCAGTCCCCCTCACCCGAGTCTCCCAGCATCTTTCTGGGAGCAAGATGATTCCAGCAGCATGGACAGGAACAAAGATAGGAGGGCTGCTTCCTGTGCGAGTCTTTTGAAAACCATGTGGTATGCGGCTAGGTTGCATCAGCAACGGCCAGCCCAGCCCTGTCCATGGAAGCTACAATGTCATCGGATTGTGCAAGGGGAAAGGGAGGGGTTGAGGGATATGGCGGGGGATGGGAGAGGCCCTGGCACTCCGTGACACAACAGTTTTTAAATACTGTACCACCAAAAGAAAGCTCAATCTGTCTAAAATGTTTTTATATAAACATCTTATGGCTACATTTTTGCATGATGGAGTAATTGTTAATCAAACTATCACAGCGCTGAAGACTGAAAAATGGCCTGGTAATGAATGGGTATTTCAGGCTGGTATAGAAGTGGTTAAACAATTGAACTAAAAATCATACCCCATGCCTCTTTCTTTAAATATAACTGAAAGGAAAAAAAAGAAAACATGAAAGAAAAGAAGCAGCTTCCATACCCTCCCATTTTTTTGTGTCACACACAGAAAGATATGTCAGCCAGAAAAACTATTCTGCATTTTCTACTAAATGTGCTATATTAGAGTACAAAACACACTCTGTTTGAATATAAATATGGACATTTTGTGCAATGATCGCCAGCATGTAACTGTCCCTGACAAAACTCTGAAAAATCTATCTGTAATTTGTATCACTTCCAAATAAACTCTGTGAGCATATCCGCAACCGCATGTAAACACAGAGAGGTTGACAGTATTTTTTTAGCAATTAGCACTGAGCACAGAGATGGACACCTAACTTTCCTTGCCTTCTCTGATCTTTCCTTAACTGCTCTATATCTTTTGCAACACATAATGAACAAAGGAACCCTGACTTTTTTAGAGGGGGGCTGGCACAATGGAAAACTGTCACAATTGGTCCTTCCATACCACCTGGTTGCAGTTCAGAGGCCAGAAAGTGCATGATTGGTAATGTTTGTCAAACAGTGAACAGCTCAGATTGAAGTCAACCCAAATTCGAAGCTCATCTTACAACTCCTTGGATGTGGTGATTGCCTTAGTTTTCTACTGCAGGTGCAAATTTGTTTATATTCTGATACTGTTCACTATAGTACCCATAATGACAGTAGTAAAGTATAACTAAAAGCAACACATTTTTGTTAGTTTTGAACAGAGTGGAGAGGGATTAGAAACCTTGTTAGATTTGTATTGTTGTCTGTGCCCCCATTAGGGAGATTTACCCCCTCTATTTGTTCTGTTTACCATTATCATTGAAAATTAAGGTAAAAGAAAACTCCAATTTTTGGGTTGTCCCCAGAAAGGTAATAGAAGTTAAATCTTCCAATAGGGACACTAGTTTTGGTGACCTGGGGGCCCCAAGAGATTCCCTTAATTTGAAGGGATTTCATTTCACTTCCTGTTTTGCTTATAAGAGAGAACAGGAATGAAAATTAAATTTCCCAAATGGAACACGCTATTCAAAATGAATAAAAAGTTTTTCCTATAGTTCTACTTTAGGACACTCATTAGTTTTGTCAGAAGCTGACAGAGGTAGCCCTTTCTCAATCTATGCAAAAATAGAAAAGTTTTGGCTGTGGACACAGTTTAACCTATTTTCACATTAGTTGACAGAAACAGGAAAGGATTGGACACTTATTGCTTCAGTCACCTCCATCTTTAGAATAACAGCGCAAGAACCTCTTGACTCCTGGAATATCCTGACTTAAATTGAGCTGCTGGACTGGAGATCAGTCTTTCCAGTGTTATGTCATAAAAAAGGCACCGCAGGACATTCTAGAACAGGGTTTCTCAACCAGGGTTCCAAGGAACCATAGGGTCCCTCTAGATTTTACTAGGGGTTCCTGGAGCAATGAGCAATGTCTGCCTCTCAGATATGTTCCCACTGACACCATTGACTTTTTCAGCTATCTGTAAGGCAGTAATTCTTCCCAATGATCACAGGTGTAGGGAGCATTATTCCCACTGTCCATCACAATAATGAGTAGTAGACATTTTTAGCAGGGGTTCCCTGACACTGGAAAGTTATTTTAACCACTTGCTGACCAGCCACTGTAGAAATATGGCGGCATGTCGGCACGGCTGGGCAAAAGCATGTTTTAAAACGTGCGATTGCAAAAGAGGTAGGGGGTGCGCACGAGGCGCGCCACCGCCCTACCTGCACCACCGATCCTGGCCACGGGTGTCAGTCGCCAGGTCACACCCGGTCATTACCGGCCGTGTCCCGCCGATTAGCGGCAATCACTGACAGAGAGCAGGGCTGCAGTAGCTCTGCTTTCTGTCAGTTCCCTGACAGCTCCTGACACGCTGATCAGGAGAGAAGAGTTTATCTCTCCCGATCAGCATGTCCCGTGTACACAATCCCGCCCCCTAGTAAAACACTCCCCTCACACAGTTAACCCTTTCAGTGAATAAAAAAATTAACACCTTCCTCCCCAGTGCCATTAGTACAATGTCAGTGGTTTTTTTTTGCACTGATCACTGTATTGGTGTCACTGGGGATGTCAGTGACCCCAAGTCAGTCCCCCCCAGTGTCAGAATGTCCGCCGTAGTCCCGCAGTCCTGCCATAAGTCACTGATCGCTGCCATAAGTCACTGATCGCCGCCATAAGTCGCTGATTACCGCAATTATTAGTATAAAAATAAATTAAAAATCCCAGTATCTTTCCAGCCATTTGTAAATGCTATAACTTTCACGTAAACCAATTAATTTACACGTATTGGGTTTTTTTTTTATTTATGATGAAATTTGATTTTTACATTTTTTTTACTGGACATGTTTTATAGCAAAAAGTCCAAAATTGTTTTTTTTTCTCAAAATTGTCAGCCTTTTTTTTTATAGCGCAAAAAATAAAAACCACACAGGCGATCAAATATCATCGAAAGAAAGCTCTATTTGTGTGAAAAAAGGACATAAATTTCATTTATGTACCATATTGCATGACCGCGCATTTGTCCGTTAAACTAGTGCAGCGCTGTATAGCAAAAAAATTACGTAAATTGCAGTATCTATACCATAGTTTGTAGACGCTATAACTTTTACACAAAGCAATCAATATACACTTATTGGGATTTTTTTACCAAAAACATGTAGCAGAATACATTTTGGCCTAAATTTATAACTAACTTTGAGTTACTATATATTTTTTTATAGCTGAAAGTAAAAAAATTATGTTTTTCTTCAAAAAGTTTGGTATTTTTTTGTTTATAGTGTGAAAAATAAAAAGCGCACAGGTGATCAAATACCACCAAAAGAAAGCTCTATTTGTGTGAAAAAAAGGACGTAAATTTTGTTTGGAAGCAGCATTGCATGACCGCGCAATTATCAGTTGAATTAGTGCAGCGCCGAGTAGCAAAAAGAGGCCTGGTCATTAAGGGGGGTAAATCCTCAGGAGGGCAAGTGGTTAAAGGTTCCTCTGTGTTGAAAATGTTGAAAAGCAAAAGAAATGTTTAAAATCCCTATTTTTTTTTTGTTTTTTTGTTTTTATGTACAGTTGCAAGAAAAAGTATGTGAACCCCTTTGGATTACGTGGAGTTTTGCATGAATTGGGCATAAAATGTGTTCTGAACGTCATTTAAGTCACAACAATAGAAGAACACAGTCTGCTGAACATAATACTACACAAACATTAGATGTTGTCATGGTTTAATTGCACATAACATGTAAACACTCACAGTGCAGGGAGGATAAAGTATGTGAACCTTTGGACTTAATAACTGGTTGACCCTCCTTTGGCAGCAATAACCTCAACCAAACATTTCCTGTAGTTGCAGATCAGACCTGCACAACGATCTGGAGTAATTTTGGACCACTCCTCTTCACAAAACTGTTTCAGTGTAGCAATATTCTTGGGATGTCTGGTGTGAATCGCTCTCTTAAGGTCATGCCACAGCATTTTAATCGGGTTGAGGTCAGGACTCTGACTGGGCCATTCCAGAAGGCGTATTCTGTGCTGTTGCAGCCATTGTTTTGTTGAATTACTTGTATGCTTTGGGTCATTGTCCTGTTGCATCACCCATCCTCTGCGGAGCTTCAGTTGGCGGACAGATGGTCGTACGTTTTCCTGCAAAATGTCTTGATAAACTCTGGAATTCATTTTCCCATCAATGACAACAATCCGTCCAGGCCCTGAGGCAGCAAAGCAGCCCCAAACCATGATGCTCCCTCCGCCATGTTTCACAGTGGGGATGAGGTTTTGATGTTGGTGTGCTGTGCCTTTTTTTCTCCACACATAGTGTTGTGTGTTCTTCCCAAACAACTCAGTCTTGGTTTCATCTGTCCACAGTATATTTTGCCAGTAGTGCTGTGAAACATCCAGGTGCTCTTTTGCAAACTTCAAACGTTCTGCAATATTC